TTCCTTCCTCGGGGACTCAGTCATGATGCCCGGAACCTCTTCGCCGTTGCCTCTCTTGTATTGTTCTGCCATTTTGAACTGCAATCTAAGGGGTTCTTCCATGTCAAATGCTCCACTCAGGAATCTGCACTTGGTGTGTCCTCTCACCCCGCCCATTAATGGCCTATCGTGTTCCTTCCTAATGGCTCTTGGATGATAGTTATCTTGTGCCTGACGAAGTCTCTTCCATCCACTGAGGATATTAATTTCACTCTTCGGTAGTGGCCATGCTGGGGGGAGCTGCAATCAGCAATGGAACTTGTGGAGTGAAGCTTCCTGGATAGCACAGCTATAATGAATGCATCCCAGAGAGACAAAGCCCTGGATGTCTCCAGAGCGCTTCTTGTTTCTGTTGTGCTTTGTCCTACTTGCTGCTATTGATTTCACTGTATCGGGCATGGTGTGATTATTACGTGAAAGGATCCCACTGTATCTAATATGGCGTGATTGTTTCATGGGAAAATCTCACTTCTCACTGGGCAATTTAATTACAGATCATAATGAAGATTTTTTTATAGCACAAGAACACTTAGAGATGTGAGATTTGTCGAGGATGGAAAATAAAAACAAGGAAGTTTCATACATGATAGACCCATGAATTCTGTGAAAAAACAGGCTGATGATCAAAAAAGGCAGTTCTATCCCTGCACCCAAGGTTAGGTGCTGCAGAATATTTAACTAAGCAAAGATGTGTTGCTCTTTTACCTTGCCTGCCCAAGGCACCTGATTGGTCTAATAAAAAGCTGAATGGCCAATAGTGAGGGAAGAGGTGTAGGTGGAAATTCCAGGCAGGAAGAATAAACAGGAGTTGGAATTCAGGTTCAGGAGGAGGAAGGAGGAGGAAGGAAAAGGAGACATCAGGGCCGGCCAGTCAGGCAGACGTCAGCCATCCAGACACAGAAGCAGCAGTAATGTAGGACATACAGAATGAATGAAAGATAAAAGCCTCAAGGCAAAACATATAGCAATAGAAGCAGGTTAAATTAATTTAAAAAAGAGCTAGGGGGGCAAACCTAAATTGAGGTCAGCATTTATAATAAAAAGTGTCCATGTCTTTATTTGGTATCTGGTTGGCAGACCAAAGAAAATGCCAGTTACAGTTAGGTCTGAGATCTTTGGTCATGTGGCTTACAAAATTAATCACAGTTTTCGGTGTGTACCTTGAAAAAACAAAGTTGTGAAAGGAAACCAAATGACCCTATTTGTGTAAAGAAAATCAGATGGCCATCTGAGCACTTGTCTAAAGGTTTTGTAGAGCAGGAACAGGCTAGGATTCTGCTGCTCTGGGACCGCAAACAACTGCCTGCCAGTACAAAGGAACTGGCTGAAGCACACACGGCGTGCTTAAAACCTTGTTAACCATAATAAAAGAACCATTGGGGTGAAGATGTTACCGTGGGAGAAATAATATAAAGGGAAATGTTTAACTCCTTGTGGGCTTCTAAGAAAAACATGTAACTTGTGACCACGATGTGATTTCTTCCTATGTAAAGATTTTAATTTGTTTTTGGAAAATGTGTAACTTGTGGTTGTGAGGTGATTCCCTTCTTGCATAGAGATATTTGTCTTAGGAGGTATAAAAGGATTAAGCCAGAAAGAGAGAGTAGAAGAATTAAGTTTTGTCCCCTCAGATAAGGCTCCTGTATGTTTGCAGAGCGGCCAACTCCACATCTCCCTCCAGTTTCTCTGGCCTGCTGGAGAGGCGATGCCAGCAAGTTTGGTTTGTTTTTTGTTGTTGTTTTGTTTTTTCTGTAGATGGCATGATTCTGCTTTGTAACAGAATGTTTGGTTGTCTCTTATCCTTTCTCTTTTTTTCCTGTCCCTTCCTTGAACAATCCTGAAAGTTACTGAGTCAGGTGGTATTATGGGAAAAGAGAATCACGGTGGCTCAGAGCCAAGGAAGATGCCAGATCTTTCAGGAAGGCACCGCCATGGGAGGAAAGACTCGCAGAGGACCCAGGCTATGGGAGGAGGGGTCCAAGGTCATATCATTGAAACATGCATTTAGAAACTGCTCTAAAAACCACTGACCCCTCCTCACATGCACCCACAAGGTAACTATAACAGTTCCAAGGAAAAAACCTGGCATCTTTGCCTTCGTTCATGTCTGTCTCCTCCCCTTTAAACTCCTGGCTATCTCTGCAGGTCAACTGTTAGTTGCCCAAGGAGTATCTGAATATCTCATCCTCTTCAAGGCTGGAGGCACAGAGACAAATGAACTGACCTAAACATGTGGTCACCTTAGACTCCAGGAGCTGTCAACCCTCGAAGACAGCCCACCCCAGATGATAACAGTGATCTATGAAAACAAGGCTGCACGCTGGAGCACAAGTCACCATTCCCTAAGAACAACCCTCTCACGCGAGAGGGACTTCTGTAGACTGCCTTGCAGGACCAGAACTAAGGCAATGGTCGAGGAGTCCACACCTAGACCAGGGATGCTAAATTATACAGACCTCCTGCTCCTTGCCCCAGTTCTGTTTAAACCTTAAGCTAATTCCAGCTCCCCAAAGGCAGACTTGAAGTCACGGGATCCCTTATTTGTGTCTCTCTGGACTGTGGCCACACTGGATCAATCCCCTCCACTTTTCACCATTGTTTGTCTCTTTAATTGGCATCCTGGAGATGGGTAGCCAAGCCTAGCTTATTAGGGCTACAGTGAATCGTGCCCGGTGGGATGAGAAAAGGTGTCCGTGGTCTGGAGAAGTCAGAACTTGAGCATCATGAGACGAGGCACGAAGCATGTTTCCAGCTCCGGCTGATGAGGAGTATCTCTGCAGAGTCGCAGGACTCTGAGCAGAAGCCTGAGCCACCTGAAGTGCAGAGAGCTCAGCGTTCGCCTGGGGGTGGGGGTCTGTCACTGCTCCAGCAGGGTGGGGACAGATCTGTGCAGGAGAGAAGCTGACAGCAACCACTGACTTGTCCAATACAAGGAAGAGCCCATTTGTTTTGGAATCAGAAATCATCGCCTACTCAAAATTAAGAGTTAGAAATATGGGGCTGGAGAAACGGCTCAGTGGTTGAAAGCATTTGCTGCTCTTCGAAGGGGACTTGTTCGGTTCACAACATCCATATCCGGTGGATCACAACCACATATAATTCAAGCTCCAGAAGAGCCAAGAACCTCTTTCAGTCTCCACAGGCACCTCCATATTCCTGCATCTCCATACGGACATAGACACATGATTTTTAAAATAAATTCTTTAAGCCAGGCAGTGGTGGCACATGCCTTAATCACACAACTCGGGAGGCAGAGGTAGACAGATCTCTCTGAGTTTGAGGCCAGCCTGGTCTACAGAGTGAGTTCTAGGACAGCCAGAACTGTTTCACAGAGAAACCCTGTCTTGAAAAAACAAAGAGTAATTTGGAAAGGGGAGCAGTGGTATGGGCTGAGTTTACATTGGGGATGAGAGGCTCACTACAGACTCACGAACTCACAGGTATCAATGCAGATACAAAAGCAGGTTCAGCTATGCCTGCACATTGTTGGTACAGATGTGTTTCTCATCTCCGTCCAGAGTTTCGCTACACAGCTCTGGCTAGCCCAGGAACTGCCATGTAGACCAGGCTGGCCTTGAATTTACAGCTTTCCTCCTTCCTCTGCCTCTTCAGTGCTCAGATTACAGGCTTGTACCACCATGCCCAGCCAGTCAGACTCTAGATTTATTACAGCAGGTCAAAGTTGGCCGCTTCTTTTTCAGTCACCGGTATTTGAAGTCTGCGTCTTTGCTGCTGATCCTGAGTATTTTCTAGTTTCTTATTGAGAGGCAATTGACAATGTATATGTCTAAAAAATACAATGAGGGGCTGGAGAGATGGCTCAGAGATTAAGAGCACTGGTTGCTCTTCCAGAGGTCCTGAGTTCAATTCCCAGCAACCACATGGTGGCTCACAACCATCTGTAATGGGGTCTGGTACCCTCTTCTGGCATGCAGGCAGAACACTGTATACATAATAAATAAATAAACCTTTTAAAAAGTCATTTTAAAAAAAGAATACAATGAGAAGTTTGGAAGAGGCAAAAATTTGTACCTGATATTCAATCCTGAAACGCAGGGATCATAAGCCCCAGCTCAGGAAGCTGAAAAAATTGACATGTCCATGCCCAAATAACAGTGAGAGGCAGAACCCATGATTTTACTCAGGCTCTTAGGGGGCTTTTCCCTGAGACACTGAACACAAGACAAAAGGAGGCAAGACCGGAGAAGTCCTTCAGAGTGGGAAGAAAACACCAAGGCTCTGAACAGACACAGGGCAGGGCAGACAGGAACAGAGAAACCATGCCTAAATATAAGAACAGCTGACCTGGGACACCTCTGGGCAGCACCTCAGAACCTCTATGTGCCAAAGGACCAGCTGGCCAGGGAAGTCAATACAATAGAGCTGGACAGGGGCTCCGAGCCTACAGTCTTATAGGGAAAGACCCAGGTCTCAGAGACCCTCCCTTTCTGTAAGAGTCTCTGGGACGGCAAAACCCAGAGCGGAAGAGGGGCAGGGAGACTAGCTTGGGCTGTCATTGGCATTTTACCATCACCTGGCCCTAATCCCACCCTGGGGAATAATATGTCACAGAAGGAGACTTTCAGAGAGCCCAGCACTGCCTGGACATCCCTTGCAGAGGAAAACAGACCTGAGCCTCAGCTCCTGGGTCTGTATAGCCTGAGGCCTGGCCACTCATAGAGAATGGGGCTTGCAGCAGAATGCCATAGAATCTCCCACATTGGCCAGATGTGGAGACATGAACCTAATCTCCATTGGTGGCTCAGGGGAAAAGCGGGAATAAGAATTCTGCAGGACTGTCTTAACAGCTTCCCGTTGGGGTGTCTGATTGACTCAGAAGCTGAGGTTGAAGAGCTAGTCCAGAAGGGAGACAGGAACCCAGGGTTGCCACTCTTCAGAGTTAGTGTCTCCCCTCATGCCCTCCAGAAACTTGTCAGACAGAGAAACCACATAAGACCGCCTCACTGCTTTATTGGGAGGGGAATACACTCGGACACAATACAAGGCCCCGAGCCCAGTAAGATCTCCAGCTCAAGATGCATCTGGCTGGCCGTAATTCGGTAGTGGCCCTTGATGACACCCCGTGAAGCGCAGATGTGGCACCTCCAGTGAGACTGGATGATTCGGACAGCCCTAAGCACCTGGCAGTACCGCCTGCGGACTCGCCACATGCGGATCCAGGACTGCACCCTGACCACTGCCCACTGCTCCCGTTGGAAGGCATCCAGTACCGACTGACGCTTCTTCTCCATCATCTTCGTCAGGATCAGCCGCCACCAGCCCTGGATGACCCAGGCCCTGAGGGCTGCGTGCAGCAGCGCCCGACGGACCAGTGTGCCACGCCACCACGCTTGGATCTTTATAACTGAGGTCTTGTCAGAGAGATCCTGTTTTTTCTGGGGCTTGCAAGGAAAAAGAGGAGATACTCAGTGAATTTCCTCATCTGCCTCAGCCCAAGGATATGCCAAGAAAGGCCCTGATTCCCTACAGTACCTGCCTCCCTCTCCAGCTGAAATGAATAGCCTTGGTCAGGATACTGGCTGGGAACTGGAAGACTGGATCAATGTCCTGCCATTGCCACCTCCGCCTTCAGGTCACTAGCAGCTCCCCTAGTTCCTTGAGTCTGTCTCTCCCGCCCTGGCGTTCCAGCTTTCCTACAGCCTAGGTTAGCAGGCTGAGATCAAAACCTGCGACTCACATACTTATCAAATGGTTATGTCCTGGTGAGCTTGCCCACCTAGCCAGGACCATTCCCATTAGGCCCTCCTGGAGTCTGGTAGCTCATTTGTTCCTCTCTTCTTTGACTCTACCGCTGTCCTTGACCTTTTCCCTTCCTCTTGCTGAATCTTCATCTTACATTTCCCCCAACTCATATATTTCAATCTCTCATCTCTCTTGTTCTTGATTCTTCTCTTCACACTCTGCCCCCCGCCGTGTGTGCGTGTGTATGCGTGTGTGCGCGCGTGCGTATGCGTGCGCGTGCATGTGTTGTGTATGCGTGCATGTGTGTGTGTGCGTGCATGTGTGTATGCGTATGTGTGCGTGTGCATGTGTATGTGTGTGTGTGTGTGTGCGTGTGTTGGGATGTGTCGAGACAAGGTCTCTGTAGCCTTTGCTGGTGTCCATCTCACTCTCCCCTTCCAAGTGCTGGAATTATCGAAGTGCATCATCAGGCCAGTTTGGCTTCCTCGTGACTTTCACACTTCTTATCTTGACAAACAGACTTGTGTGCACAAGTGTAAACATGCACACACAATTCTTGCTTGGTTTTGGTTTTGGGGGTTTGGGGTTTGTTTTGTTTGTTTTTGAGACAAGGTTTCTCTGTTTAACAGCCTTGGACCAGGCTGGTCTTGAACGCAGAGACCCACCTTCCTCCATCTCAAAAGTGCTGGGATTAAAGACATGCACCACCACGCCCAACCAATACACACTCAAGTCTAAACCAACTTCCCTACATCTTGGCTATTCCATTCCACAAGCACATCCCAGACTCGGCCCCAGGCCTTTGGTCTGGGAGGTCATAGTTTGCCCAATTCCACACTAACATATGCTTCCCTTTTTTTTTTTTCCTTCCTTCCTTCCTTCCTTTCTTGTTTTGTATGTCTGTGTCAGATCCCCTGGAACTGGAGTTACAGACAATTGTGAGCTGCCAAGTGAGTGCTGGGAATTGAACCTGGGTCCTTTGGAAGAGTAGCTAGTGCTCTTAATCGCTGAGCCTTCTCTTCAGCCCCCTGCTTTCCATTTCTGAACCAGAGTTTTAGGCTGAAAATGAAACGGAAACATGGGGAAATCATTTATTCCTATGCTTAGCTTGGTACCACACCAAGAACAAGGGCCAGAGACACCCAAGCCAAATCTCCTCCTACCTTTGCCTTCTTCGTGTCTGAGGATAGATCATCTGGCTGCTTCTCCCGAGGAACATGGCCAGTAGGTTCTTTAAGGTCTTCAGGCTTTGACTGTTTTTCATCCTGTACCAGCAATTGGGGAAATCAAGAGTGGGGTTACCATCTCTCCCTCACTGTTCTGCACCCCACACATCCCCAGCTTCTAGAGCATCCCAGACTCTCTTCCCCCTAGGTTTTCTAAGTCAGGGTTTCTCTGTGTACTCCTGGCTGTCCTGAAACATAGTCTGTACACCAGGCTGGCTTCTGTCTCCTGAGTGCTGGGATTAAAGGCATATGCCACCACTGCCCGGTTGCTTCCTAGACTCTTGAGTTATCAGAGGGGTCCCTCATCGTGAGATTTATAGACATAACAAGCCTGATGTGTCTGCCCTTTCTTACCATTGTTCATACATGGACTGGGTGTAGATGGTTCAAATCCCCTCAGGTTTGTGCTGTTCCAGGATTGGCATGAGCTGAGAGCAGAGGGTGACTCATGATGTCACAAGGGCAGCTGTGACTCAGGCAGCAGTGGAGTCCTGTCTAAGGAAAAGACAGAGTGCTGTCCTTTTTTTTTTCTGCCATAAATTCCACATCAAATCAAATCAAAGCCAAATCACCAGAATCACTGGCCCATTGACAAAAAGGTGGATAGTGAAACAATGGTAACAACACTTACCTGCACTTTTGAATATTCACCAATGGAGGAGGGTTTAATGATTTATAGTCTGCTCATAACTTCGGACAAGATCAGGCATATTCAGGGAGGTACAGAGGCAAACTGCTTATGCCTTCAAATATTATATAAATATTAAAATGTAGTGAGTTAAGTCAGACATGGTGGTTCATGCCTGTAATTCCAGCACTTAGGAAGCTGAAGCAGGAGGATTGCTTTGGGATCAAGGCCAGCCTGAGCTAGTCTCAAAAAATAGAAACGATGAGTTGATCTTTACTACTGAGAGACATTTGTTAGGAAAGGAAGTTGGATCACTGTGACTGCACTTGCGCAGACTAAGAGCGTAATGATGGACATACCCTACCCACTCGGTGCCCAGGAGACCCCAAGAACCAGCCTGGACTCCATCTCAGGTCTGGGTTCAGTCTTCTTCTTCTGCCCTTGAAAATGCCAGACAGGCGAAAGGCAGTTGCTACCTGAGGGCGCCCTTTCTGCTGATCTTACCTCCCAAAGACCCACCTTGACAGCATGAGGCCAGGAGTCCACCAGAGGCCTGGTCCCAGGAGTCACTGGGCAGTGCTTTCAGAATGTATATGGTTAGGATAGAAAAGGGGGAGTATACTGAAAAGGAGGGGGTCATGTCAGGCTAGAAGTGTGCGTGAGATGCAGGAGGCAGGCTGTGGAAGCAAAGTGACAGAAAGATCCATTAGCCTCAATTTGGAAAGGATAATGTACAGGCATTTGTGACCATTGTTTTTTAACCTCTCAACACACACACACGGGTGGAGGTGCCATTTAAAATCTTTTAAATTTTAAAAAGATCTTTAAGAGGTAAGTCAGAGTCTACTTGGAGGTCCTTATGTCACTGAAGTTGCTACCCTTGGAAAGGACTATTGCAGGGGTCACCCCTGAATTTCTGGCTTCCTATTGGGTGATGTAATCACTCTCTCTTATATATGCACTTGCCATCTGCCACAAGAACCTCCCCAGAGGGCTGGAGAGATGGCTCAGAGGTTAAGAGCACTGGTTGCTCTTCCAAATGTTCTGAATTCAAATCCCAGCAACAACATGGTGGCTCACAACCATCTATAATGAGATCTGGTGCCCTTAATTGGCCTGCAGGCATACACGCAGGCAGAACACCGTATACATAATAAATAAATAAATCTTTAAAAAAAAAAAAGCCTCACCAGAGGTCAGCTGACATTGGCAATGAGCTACATTAACAGCAGAGAAATCTCACTTTCTAAGAAAACACTGAGATCACGATCAAAACACCTACAGGGACCTGCTTCAGGGTAGAATACTGGCCTAGCGTCATTCAGATACCTGGTGTCATTCTGGGCGGAACTTGTTCTTAGAGAGAATCTGAGTTTAATTCTCAGAGCCCACACCCGGCAACTCACTGCCTGTCAATTTCAGTTCCAAGCAACTAGTGTCCTCTGCTGGCTCCCACAGGCACTGCACCCACGTGACATCCACATTTAGGCAGACACATAAATAAAGTTAGTGACTAGGCAATGGTGGGGCACACCTTTAATCCCAGCACTCAGGAGGCAGGTGCAGGTTAATCTCTGAGATTAAGATCAGCCTGGTCTACAGAGTGAGTTCCTGGACAGTCAAGGGTACACAGAAAAAAACATGTCTTGAAAAAACAAAAACTATATATGTGCAGTATTTTCAAAACAATTTTAGAAGATAAGAGGCCAACTTTTATTTCTAAAAACATGTGGAGATGAATTGCATATCCTCTGCTGTTCTCAGTTCTAGGACTCTGTAATTTGTTTCCTGGAACTGTTGATGAGGCTCCAACTTTGATGCCTACATCTTTGCAGCTTGATTACAGGAAGGAAACCATGTTCTCCCATAGAGAATCCTCAAGGTTGGGTTTGCGGGCATTGGAGAAGCCCCTCACCACCGTCAGAGGCCTGGAGGTTTGGCAGCGGCAGGTAGAGGCAGGGAGTAGGTGTTCTGGGAAAGATCGTGTTTTTATTTATTTACTTATTGGATTTTTTTGAGACAGAGTTTCTCCGTAGCTTTTTTTTTTTTTGGGGGTTCCTGTCCTGGAATTAGTCCAGGCTGGCCTTGAACTCAGAGATCCACCAGCCTCTGCCTCCAGAGTGCTGGGATTAAAGGCGTGCGCCACCACCGCCCTGCTAAGACCATGTTTTAGTAACACAGCCAGTGGTGAAGCCTACACAAACCCACAGGCAGCACTTCAGCTGTGCCGCCGAGAGGCCCGCCCAAACGCAGACCTACACACGCACTTTTTCTTATTTCTTCCTCCCTCAGTCTCCCAAGCAAGCATAGGCTGGCTGCTCCTGGGACCCGCTCCCATCTGACCTGCGATCCTGTTAGCTACCTATCGTCTTCTGCGGCACACTATGCTCTGGCTACTCTATTTGCCCATATTTTTAACTAAATAAAAAATAAATCACATCCCCCAACCATCCATCAGCAAGATCCATGAGTTGTCCGCAAGCCCCTACTTCAGTCACAGCTGTTGCCATTCCCTCACCTCTCCCATCACCCTACCTGTGACTTCAGCTTCCCGGCCCCCCTCTTCACCTTCCAGCACTCCTCCCCCTCCTCCTGCAGCTGCTAGGTGGTTGTTTTCTGTTGTTTATTGTATTTATCGAGATGGCATGTGCTGTGCCGTGTGTGTGAAAGTCGGAGGACAACTTTTGGGGTTCAGTTCTCTCCTCCCACCATCTGGGTTCTTCTGAGGACAGAGCTCAGGTCATCAGGCTTGGCAGCAAGTGCCTCCACCCACTGAGCCGTCCATCAGCCTGGTTACCTTTTTAATGGGACCCAGAATGGGTCACTTAGCTCTCAACCCTCTCTGAGCCAGCATTCCGCTCCTGCACAAGCTATCCTGGAGTGGGGGTGGAGCAGAGTCCTCTCCATCACTTTTTACACCTCAATGTCACTCCTCAAAAAAGTCTTGGAGGGACCTACCATCTGCCCTACTCCTCTATCTCCCCAGTCTCTCCTCCCCTCTACTGCTGCACCCCTACGACAGGAGTGAGCCACCCAACATGCAGAAGCAAGTATTCCTCTAATGCCTCTCCAGCGGGTCCCTGCCTGGCTCTTGCTATCAGATCCAAGATCTCTTCCCCAGTGCTGACCTTGTCCCCAAGCATGGCAGACTCCCACTTCGGGGGCCGTCTATCCCTTCCAGCTTCCTGAGGGTAGGGAAGTAGGGTCAGCCTGACGTGTGGCCCTGCTATCCCATTTAATCCTCAGACCCCAGTTAGAGTTTGTGTACAGAACTGAAAGCCAGAGCTTCTTGGCTGATGGGTGAGCAGACTCTGAAAGCAGCTGGCTGACGAGGTCATGCAAGAGCCAGCAGAGGTTCCCACCCACAGTCCTCTGAAAACAATCAAAGGCCTTCAGCTGACAGCTTGCCCTTCCTCGGGTCTCTGCCAGCTCCTGGTCCCTGTCACACACACACCCCTGCTGCTTACCCTCCCAGGAACCAGAGGAACAAGGTCTAAAATAGGACCTTTTTAATACAAAAAGGGGGGCAGGGTCTAGAAAGCACTTAAATAAGAACGAGTGTCAGGAGCCAGCAACAGGGGCCGCAGGGACTCTGCGCAGAGGGATGATGCAGACTGAATTCCGAGCCTCTTTGATCCTCCACCACCGGCCAAGCCTGTGAGGAATGAGAGCGCCAGCTGAGGCAGACCCACACCCACACTCCAACCCCCTCCTAGTCCCATCCAGACAGTGCCACCTTGCCCTCAGCCCCACCTCCCATCACCCTGCCCTCAGCCCCGCCCCCATCACCCTGCCCTCAGCCCCGCCCCCAGCCCCGCCCCCATCACCCTGCCCTCAGCCCCGCCCCCATCACCCTGCCCTCAGCCCCGCCCCCATCACACACCTGTGCTCCTGGCCCACTCCAGCCACCAAGAAGTCCCCAGCACTGGAGAACTTGAGGCTATTGATAAAACCAACCTGAGGGGAACACAGAAAGACATCAGAACTGTCCTCACCACATCTGCCAACATCAATCAAGAGCCTGGTGAAAACCTGCTGCCTGCTGTCTCTGGCCAGGCGGATCAGTCCTTTCTCCCTGAAGCCTTAGCCTCCCAATCTGAGCCAGGGGAAATAGAGCCAGCATAGCAGGGGATGGATTCAGGAGGCAGTGCCCATCAAGTGTGTCAAGAGCTGCCTAGGGCCTGGCACCTGGCAGTGGGGTAGGAGAAACCCCAGAACAGCCATCCCAACTCAAGCTGTCCCTGACATATCCTGCCACAACCCCACAGGTCACCCCAATGTGGATAATCAATTCCATACACCCCCACCTGGTCTCAAGCCAGTACCAGCGAGGCAGAGCTAACCCCAGTGCAGGCCTCCACCCTCTGGCCATGCAACTCTCAACCCTGTATATTGAAGCCAGAACAGCACAGGGTGGAGAGGCAGGGGGACAGAGCAGGAGGAAAGAGGGAGTCCCTGCCAGAACCTGAGACAGTAAGTGGCCCTGCTTGTGGGAAGAGCAGAAAGAGCTCATTTCAGGGGCCCCCAGAGTCTGGCAAAGACAGGCTTATGCATTTACCACTTACCAGGGGGATGTCACAAAGAGGGTCAAGCTGTCGGAAGCCCTCTCCACACTGCCAAAGCCGCACACAGGCATTGTGGGAGCCTTGGAAGACAGAGGGTCAATGAGCAAACCTCTATACCAAGTCACCTTATGCCCCTCTTCCCCCCTTCACAGAGCACCCACCTGTGGCCACAAGGTCTGTATTAAGCAGGGCCGCCACCGATGACACCCAGTAGGGCTGCTCCAGGCCTGGCTCCCCATGCAGTCCATGAGCTTCCCGCTGGAGGGCAAGTGGCCGTTTCTTGGAGAGGCCCCACAAGGCCACGGAGCTGTGGGTAGGGAAGAGAGTCTGAGGGCAAGAGCAGGACAGAGGCAAACAGCAGGGAGGACCAAGCACACAGGCCAGCTGAGGAATATGGATAGGGTCACTGGCCCTGACAGGCGGGAATGGTCATAGCAGCAGTGGTCAGTCACATCAGAGGGATAACTCTTACCCATCATCTGCACCGGACACCATGTGCTCCTCATTGATCAGATGGATACAGTCAATGGAGCCCCTAGAGAGACAGAGTGTGAGGGACAAGGTCCAGCGCTCTCACCAGCCCATAGAGTCCCGGCACGCCACAGCAGACTGCCTTACTGGTGGCCATAGAAGACAAGCTGGGATTCCTCTGGGATCTTCCACACACGCACAGTCCCATCCCGGCCCCCGGCTGTCACACAGCACTCTCGGCTCAGGGCATCCAATGCGGCCACAGCATCCTGGTGCCCAAAGCTGGAGGGAAGAAGAGAGTGTCACATGTGAACTTAGAGGTACACGTGAACCGGCATTCACATGCTATCTGCCCGAGCGCACTCACAGGGTCTCCACATAGGAGTTCTCGGCTGCGTTCCACACCTTCACTGAGCGGTCGTGGGAAGTGCTGTAGAGCTGGTGGGTACCTCTTCGGAAAGCCAGTCCCTAGAGCCGATGGGGAGGGGCAGCAGGGTCAGGACAAAGCAGAGGAAACAGAAGACAGGTCCAGAGAGGCTCTCCTAAAGCAAGTCACGTGACACAGGAAGCCTCCTCCCACAGAGCACTCAAGATAAAACATGAGACCCCATGTGGAGTCAGGAACGGGCTTGCCTGTACTCAAATAGCTGGACCCCCCTCAGGCTCTCCTGGCTCCGGTATCAGCTGGACCGGATCTCCCTCCATCCCTCCCAGTGTCTTTAGCACACATATGTTCTCTCAAACAGCTGGATCCCCACCCTCAGGCCCTCCTTGCCCCTGTATCAGCCGGACCTGATCTCCCTCCATCCCTCCCAGTGTCTTCAGCACATTTAGGTCCCTTACACAGCACTCACTACCCAGAGAGGAGGTCCCCAGAAGATGAGCTGGGGCCCAGCACCATCCACTAAATACCCAGAGCCTCACCGACACAGCATCCCGGTGTCCCGTGAAGGTGTACAGGTGCTGGCAGCTCTGGGCCTCCCAAATTAGAATGAGTTTGCTTCGGTCACCAGAGGCCTGTGGGAATGAAGATTAATAGCCACAAGCACACACACTGCACAGCCAAACCGCCCACCTGCCTACAGGGCCAGCCCAGTCTTACAAGGTACTTGCCATCAGAGGAGATGGCCATGCAGAGGATGTGGCTGCTGTGGCCTGAAGGCTGCCCCTGGGTACCCTTCTTGGCTCGAGGAATTACATGCAGTTTCCGCCCAGTCTCTACACTCCCTGCCACCAAGAGAGGAAAGAGATTACTGGGAAGGGGGACACCACTGGCTTAGCCAACCACGCCTTCCCCCACCATGAAAGAGCTGCATGGACAAGTGTCATGAAGGGAGCCCTGTACTTGGGTCAGGGGACCCAGTTCAGCTGCTGTGAGCGTCTGCACAAATCACTTTGGTCTCATCTGCCAAATGGAAGCAATAGTCCCCAATGGCAGCCATGACCCCCCAAAGGAGGGAGAAGAATTTAAAAGTGCCTTGGAGATTGGAGGTATGCTCAGTGGGGACCACTTGCCATGTGTACGAACTTCAATTCAGTCCCCAGAACCTACTCGACTATCACATGTTGTCCTGACATCTCAACACGTGGGTTGTGGCATAGGTGCACACCCCATACACAAAATAAACAGCATTAAAAAGATAAAGGAGGGAGGGAATGAGAGAGAGAGAGAGAGAGAGAGAGAGAGAGAGGAGGTAGAGAGAGAAGTGCATTGGGACTGCTGGCATGACTCCTTCCTCGGATGAAGGTGGGAGGTGAGGCCTAGGCTCAGGTGTGGAGGGCTAAGAATCTAGAAGGACCAAGGACTGCATCGGTCAGTGTAGAGCCTCAAACACCTCCCAGCCCAGCTGCCCAGCTGAGGCCTCAGTCCCCATCCTTGACGTGTGTAGAAAACTGAAGGATGGGACCTGACCAACTAGAAGATTCCATTCAGTGTCCATCCAGCACAACGCTGGCCGACTCCCCAGCACTATCCTCATCCTGTCTTTGCTCCACGGAGCTCAGAGGCCCTACCACTGGTTGGAAGCTTCCATGGTCACTCACAAAGCTCCTCCTAGGTAGCTTCCATGACCAGGGCTCCGCACCAGACACAGGCCCTCCAGGTCTCACTCACACTTAATGATGGTGCAGTCTTTGGCGGCGGAGAAGATGGCCAGGTCATCAGGAGTGATAACCAAGCACGTGATGGAGAGCTGGTGGCCCCGTAAAACTCGAATGTCGGTGGGAGCCGGGGCCTGGATCTGGGCAGACAGGGACCAGGTCAATATAGTTGGAACCATGATGACACTCCCCATCCATAACTATTCTTACCCACCCACCCTAGCCAGAAGGAAAACAGGACCCAAGGTCATGAGAATAAGACCTTTCATTACCTAGCCATATCTGCCCAAGTATCTACCACTGTATTCCACAAAAAGACTCCAACAGCCTGAGGGGCACTAAGCCGTCTGCTTGTCAACCCAGGTGAGTGCACTGACTCTAACCTTACACCAAGGTGCCCTGCCCACTCACCTCCTTTGCCACCGACTTCTGTAACCTGCCTCTCTGCTCGAGCTGCAAAGAGAGAAGAAAGAGGAATGAGGAACTAGAAGGAGGCCCCGTCTCCCTCCACACTCACTGCCGCCCTCCACACTCACCACGTCTTCTTTTAAGCGTCCTGCCACCTGATCCTCCTCAAATTCACGAGCTTCAGCCTTCTCCTCCTCTGTGCAGGACAGACCAGTCCACATAACCCAAGGCTGAGGTGCCCTTCCCTCCTCCCATCCCATGCCTAGCCCTCTACCCCGGGACACTTTTAGCACTTTCTAGGGAAAACTAGACAGTCCCTTCCTGACTTTATCACACTGGGCTTAGCTCCCCTCAAGCCTAGTCTGTCCCGGGGAATACTGGCCCATTAGAGATCCTAGACACCCTCTACAAGGTGGTTAAGATCAGCAGCACTGGCAAACAGGGGAAACCTATGAGTGGCCCATCAGATGGAAGGGGCTACAACAGGGACAGCAGGTAGGTTCTGGCAGAGACCCCAGCCTTCATCTAGTTCCCCCAGCTCACCTTGCTGCCTAAGCTGCTCAAGGTAGAGTTTGGCCAAACGTAGCTTCTTCTCCTGCGCAGTCTCCTCTAGCTCCTCCTCCTCCTCTTCCTCTGTTTTCCTTGGAGCCAAACTATGGAAAGAAGGGACTGGGTCTAAGGGGCTGACCCCACACATCTGGCCAACCCCAGGCCAAAGACACGTGCAGAAAACAGATGTGACTTGAGACTTGTCCGACTGAAGATCGCACTCAGGGTCATCCAGCATAATGTGAAAATGGCCACCTCCTCCCAACACCAGGAAATGATTATAAAAGCTCAACAATATGGGAAAAAGAAGGTTCCATAAGCTTCTAAGAGAAACCAGGTTGTATACAACAGATCAGAAATAACAATGGCAGGCCTGCAGACTTAGCTCAGTGGCAAAGGAAGACAAACACGCTTGAGGTCCTGGAATAAACAGCCAGTATGGGGTGGGGTGGGGGGAGAAGAGGGGGAGAGAACAAAGAGGAGGAGGAAGAGGAGGAAGAGGAGGTGCCTAGACAAAACAGTGACAAATAAGGATACCACAATGGGTATGGCTCAGTGATAGACCATGGACTTAGCCTAATAAAGGTCCTGAGTTCAATAACCATCCAAAAAAAAAACCACATTATCAAGCCAGGGACAGTGGCATACCTAAAATCCTAGAATTTGCAAGGTAAGACTCAAGGTCAGCCCAAGCCAGAGTAAGACTATCTCAAACTCCCTGCTGAGGATTGTCAGACATACAGAGTGACAAAGAACTGATCCTTTCCTCCTGAGCTTCAAAAACTAGAGAAAAGCACAAGGTACTAGAAACAGGAGATGCAACACACAGAACAAGGTACTACAAACAGGAGATACAACACGCAGAACAAGGTACTATAAACAGGAGATACAACACGCAGAACAGAAAAGGCAATGCCAGGGTGACAACTGCTCTAAGAAACAGGGCAGCAAGTTTTAGCAGAACCCAAGAGACAGACATGCTGGGCTAGGCTCGCTGCCCCAGCATCCTCCTTGGACCCCGAGGACTAGGTTCCAAGTGAATCCTAAGTAGTACTGACTTAGCCCTGTACTGGTGAGTTTCTTACTGTCCCTTCCAAGCCCCAGTCCCTAGGCCAGCTGAGGACGCTCCCTTCACTCAAAGGTTTCGATCTCCTCCTGGGAGCTGGAGGAAAGTGTTGAGAACTCATAAGCAGGAAGTGTAGGGCTTGTGGTCCTTCTGGTCACAAGACATCAAGCCTGTTTGCTGCTCTATTTCCCAGCACCCAATCAAGATCTTGCCCAGGACTTCCATCAGAAGGGATCTTACAACCTGTCAGGAAGCCCATTGTGGTGGGGTATGCCTTTTTTTTGTCTTAATCTAGCTATTTTTAATGAAATTTTTTAATAAATTATTTACCTGTATATTTTACATCCAGCCACAGATTCCCCTCTCTCCTCCCCATCCCTCCCTTGACCCGACCTCTGTTTTATCCCAGCACTTGGGAGGCAGAGGCAGGCAGATCTCTGAATCTGAGTCCAGCCTGGTCTACAGAGCAAGTTTCAGGCCTGCCAGGGCTACACAGTAAGCACCCGCCTCAAAACTGAGACACCTCTCAGGAAGGTCAAAGCCGGGGCACAGCCCAGAGTTCTGACTATACAGCGTTTACCCAAACCAACTAGTCAGTTATTTAAGGGTTACTAACAGGAAAGTAGAGGAGACAGGCTCAGCAGAATGCCAAAACTTATAAACTGGATTTAGCAATTCTGCTTTTTCTTTCTTCTATATTTTCCCAGAGGTGGTTTCTCCATGTAGCCCTGGCTATCCTAGAATTTGCTCTGTGGATCACGCTGGCCTTTAACTCAGAGATCCGCCTGCCTCTGCCTCCAGAGTGCTGGGATTAAAGGCATGTGCCACCACATCCGGCATCATTTTTTGCTAAAAAGTAGCTTTTGTAAGAAAAGATATTTCAGACCTGAATTTTATGTGTTATACATTCCTCTTTATTTTTGTCCATGATAGAGGATCAACAGAAAAAAAACTGAGAGGTGCTTCTATAGTTAATGCACTTTGTTATACAACTTTGTAAAATACTTAAGTGGGCTGGGAAGATGGCCATCAGTTAAGAGCTCTTGCTGTTCTTGCAGAGAACCTGGGTTCAATCCCCAGCACCCACACTGGTGTGCCCAAACACCTGTCACTGCAGTTCCAGGGGATCGAATGCCCTCAGTCCTCCTGGAGCACCTGCACTCAAGTAGTGCATACAAACTCATGCATGTACACATATATGCATATAAATAAAAACAAACTTAAAATAGCACAGGTCCTGGAGGCAGAAGCAGGTGGATGTCCTTGAGTTTGAGGCCATCCTGATCTATATAGCTAGTTCCAGGAGAGCTATATGGAAAAACCTTATATCAAAAGAGACTGTTTCTATGTGTGAGTTAAGGCAACAGACATTGACTTTTAGAAGCAGAATTGCTAGCCAGGCTGGTAACCCTAGCACTCAGGAGGCAGAAACAGGTGAATCTATGAGTTGAAGGCCAGTCTGGTATACAGGGAGAGTTCCAGGACAGCTGCTACACAGAGAAACCCTGGTGGGGGAAGACGGGGACACAGAACAGCTAAGTTCAGTTGATGAAAATGATGTCAGGATTTCCTGGACTGAGTACCTCCACCCCTGGGGATGACACCCTGTCCCAGCCCTTTGAAACCATAAAGCCACCCCCATCACCTACTGAGACTGGGAAGTGTCCGAACCCCTCTCTGAATTGTATATGACCCTACCACCTGCCCTTTTATCTTTTTTGTTTGGTTGTTTGGTTGTTTTTTGTTTTTGTTTTTCAAGACAGGGTTTCTCTGTAGCTTTGCAGCCTGTCCTGGAACTAGCTCTTGTAGACCAGACCGGCCTCAGACTCACAGAGATCTGCCTACCTCTGCCTCACAAGTGCTGGGATCACCACTGCCTGGCCCTTTTATCTTTTCTACCTTCCACCCTGGCAAACTTACACCCCAAACTTGTCTCTGACTCCTGAATGCCTTCCCTACCACTCCAAGACACTCCTCCTCATCTCTCTAAGCCTGTTTTTTTTTGGGGGGGGGGGGTTGTTTGTTTGTTTTTTAGGGATTTTTGTTGTTGTTTTTTTTTAGACACGGTTTCTCTATGCATCTTCCCTGGCTATCCTGGAACTAACTCTGTAGACCAGGCTGGCTTCAAACTCACAAAGATCTGCCTGCCTCTGCCTCCTGAGTGCTGGGATTAAAGGCGTGCACCACCACTGCCAGGCACCTATTTTAAAAAGCTCCTTCACTCCTCAGAACACATACCTGCAAGATCCACGCCTCCCTACAACACCTCTCTCCTCTTGCTGCCCATCTGTGTCCCCAACACTAAAACCAGTCCCTAATGTTAGAATCAAGGGAAGGCTAGATATGTGTCAATAAACACTGCGTTTTTAACTAGGAAGCAAAAGCTGTCAGATCATTTGAGCCCAGGAGGCCAAGACAACCTTGGCAATACAGCAGACTTCATCTCAGAAAGGAGTCCAAGACATCAGTAACTGTGACACTGCGGGAAAATGGAATGAAGCTGCAGGTGTGCCCTGCAGCCTTCTCCCCTTGCCTCTCAATCCAGTCTTGTGCCTGCGTCCTCTCCATGAGACAAAAAAAGGTCTCAGGGTCTCCCACAAGGATCCAGGGCCCTCCCCATAGTCACACAGAGATAAAAGACATCTCACAGCCAGACACCCGAGCAAAGACCCACGATCTGTGTGAGCCAACGGCAATCCTGAGTTCTCCAGCTCTATTACTAGTCTCACTGAGTCGTCCATTCACCGTGAGCCTCAGTTTACCCTTCCCCTCGGTGGGGAAAAAAAAAATGCTCACCTCTCAGTCTCAGAATCACTGGAAATTTCTTCATTCATCTTGCCGCCACCCTTGGATTTGCCTCTGTCCCCAGCAGAGTCGACCTGGAAATAATACGATCCTTTCTTGCTCAAGAGCCTGAGAAAGGCAGCGGCTCTTGGCCCTGGCCAAACGGAAGGCCTTCCAGGATTCGGTGGGTAGAAGAAAGAGGTTGGGGCTGCATCTAGATGGGACCCTGAGCGAAGGGATGGGGCCCTGGGCGAAGGTATGAGCCCCGATGAGTGCCCTGGGATGGAACGATGGCTGTCGCAGTAGCGAGACCGGTCGTGCCCGAGGAAACGCCATGCTCACCTTTCGCCGCCGCTTGCCGGCCCCCGCAGCGGCCCCGGGTCCGGGGGCCGGCTTTGCCCGCTTACGAGTTGCCACGGCAGTGGACATGATCATCAGGGTGCTGCTGCGGCTGCGGGAGAACTCACATGGCAGCTAAACCCTGGCCGCATGGCAAGACCCGGAGCCCTGATAGGCTCCTACGGCGCGGCTGGCCCCGCCTCCCGCAGCTCCATTGGACCTTCCAGGAGACCCTGTCACTCCCCCAGTCGCCCATTGGGCCGACCCGTTGGCCACGCCCCCAAAAGATCCTATAAGCTCCAGCGCCGACGGGACTAGAAAGCTAGTCTCTCTTCCTGTTTCCGGCTTGGGCCTGTGGCGCTTGCGCTCTGCTGCCGCCCGGTTTCCAGGGAGGGGTGGGGCTAGGAGGCCATTCTTTGTGTTTGCGCCTCATAACCACTGGAGGGCGACAGAGGTGCGGAGTTCTTCGTTCCGAGAGTGATTCAATTTTTCCAGTCTGGGGCGGGGGACACAAGACTTTTCAGCCAAGCTCTAATACACAGAGAATGGAATCCAGGCAACCCTGGAAAGTAGACAGTATCTAAACCCAGGGTCAAAGTCGGGCAGATAGCGGATACGTGCGGCAAGAGCCTGGTCGAGGCTGCACGAAGGCCCTGCGGTTTTAGATGAGTCCAGATTAGTGTCCTCTCTTCTGTGGCACAGTCACCAACTTCGGCCTGCCCAATCTCTGACTCAGCCCACTAGTAGCCAAATAACTGGAATTCTACACCCTCTTACGCTCTTTCCCCTCCTCTTGTGGTTGCTCGGAAATCCCTATCATAAGAGAAGCGGAAGGCTCGAAGAGGGACACCAGACAAGCCCGGACTTGGAACTTGTTTCTTGGGTGGTGCACTCAGCCAGCATTCCTGATACCAGGCTGGGTGACAGCCACCACTTCGAGGGTCCTGCTTCTTTTGGGTGAGTGTCCTGTGGCCCTTCCCCGGAGTCCTCTGCGGGGGCAGGGAAGGGTGGGTAAAAGTGATTTATCTCTGGCAGTTGAAGGCCACTTATCTGAGACCTTGGCTAGCACCCCTGAACTCTGGCGTGTTAGGAAGAGGCTTCTATACCTCAGCTCTAGAGGAATAGATCTGGCTGCCGAAGTGCTGCTTGTAAGCGCCCTGCCCTCCCCAACCTCCCAACCCCATAGCTCAGAAGATTCAGTCAGCAGTATTGCCAGATCCCTGCTTCCCGACAGGAGGAGGAAAGGGAGATGCCAACAAGTGGGAGTGGCTAGTCCGCTTTCACTTTTTCTATTACCTCCGGGCTCACAAGCTGAGAGGGTAGGGATCAGACTTCTTCCTAGCCCAGGGTGGGCAGACTGGGCGGGTTTTAGCCGTGCCCTTGCCACCTGGGGAGGGAGCATATCTGAGGTACAAAGTGCGGTTTTAGAAATGTGGATTTGTATGGCAAAAAGAGGAGGCCAGCCTCTTGAAAACGCCAGCCTGAACACTCCCTGCCCCTCACCCCAGGATAGCCATGGCTCCAAAACGAAAGTCTTCGGTGCAGGCTGAGGGCTCCAAGAAGAGGCCACAGGGGACAGGGGAGGAGGATAGTTTCCCCTCCACCGCTGAGGCTCTCAGAGCAGCTCCTGCAGATCAGCGCATCATCCGTGTGGACCCCATATGCCCACTCAGCCACAATCCCAAAACTCAGGTGAGCTCCACCCATGTTCAGGCCACAACCTTCTCCTCCTTGGGGGTCTCCATTCTAGCCCGGTAGCTTAAAGTCTTTAAGGAAGCTAGGGGTTGCTTGTCTTCTTAAGACCACAGAGGTGGACTGTATTCTATCAGATCAAGGTTTGTCAGGTCTGACCACCAGACAAGGGAGTTGCCTCTTGCATCACACTCAAGGATGGGGTCTGACTCGGTTTCCCCAGGACTCACCAGTGCTCCCTCAAACTCAGCCCTCAGGACAGAGCCAGGAATCTTTCAGATTCCCCCACCCAGGAAGTAGATGCGTGTTCTCCAAATTCCATCTCCCACAGCAGACCTTATTCAAATCCAGTCAGACTGTGTCCCCAACGGCACAGTCATTATACCAAGTGCCAAAATAGAACCCCTTGTGATGTCCACCAGTGTGCACACCCAGCCCATGTCCAGCCCAGCTGCCTTCCGGCCTCACCCCACACAGGTCCACGAGGACTATGACTGTACCCTGAACCAGACCAACATCGGCAACAACAATAACAAGTTCTACATCATCCAGCTGCTGGAGGAGGATGGTCACTTCTTCTGCTGGAACCGCTGGGGCCGGGTGGTGAGTGACCCGTTACCAGTGTGCCTCCCGCAAACCGCCCTCCTCTGCACACACTTCAAGAGTCCCCAAAGAGCCACTGTAGCTGGCTGTCCCACTTCGCCTTGCTGAGAGGCAATCAGCCTAGCCCAAGGCCGGCACACATTTCTGATGGGCACACCCCTGAAAGTTGTCACTTACAGGGAGAGGTGGGCCAGACCAAGATGAACCCCTTCGTCTGCCTGGAAGACGCAAAGAAGGACTTTGAGAAGAAATTTCGGGAGAAGACTAAGAACAAATGGGAGGAGCGGGAACACTTTGTGGCCCATCCTAACAAGTACACACTTATCGAAGTGCAGGGAGAGGCAGAAACTCAAGAGGCTGTAATGAAGGTGACAGGGGTGGGGCAGTGGGGCAGAGGGAAGGGCCTGCCTCCTGCCTGCCTGACTGACTGTCTGGCAGTGTACACTCAAATACTGGCCTCTTTCTCTGGCCTCAGGCTGGGCCTTTACAAATGTCCCACCCTTCCCCCATGTGAGCATCCTGCCCAGCTGCTCCTGCCCACACAGTTTTTCTCTCTGCAGGTGGACGGAGGCTCAATGAGGACTGTGGTTAAGCCCTGCTCCCTGGACCCTGCCACTCAGAAGCTCATCACCAACATCTTCAGCAAAGAGATGTTCAAGAACGCGATGACCCTCATGAACCTGGGTGAAGAGGGGCTCTGAGGGGAGGGGCAGGGCCCCAGTATCAGGGGGTGCAGGACTGAGACTATCCCTTCATTCCCCAGATGTGAAGAAGATGCCCTTGGGAAAGCTGAGCAAGCAGCAGATTGCACGGGGCTTTGAGGTCTTGGAAACTCTAGAGGAGGCCATTAAAAAGCCCACTGGTGGTGGTCAGAGCCTGGAGGAACTGTCGTCCCGTTTCTACACCGTCATCCCGCACAACTTTGGCCGCAGCCGGCCTCCGCCCATCAACTCCCCTGAGATCCTTCAGGCCAAGAAGGACATGCTGCTGGTGAGGACTGGCGGGCCCTGAGGGTACCAGACAGACTGGGCAAAGAGGAGAGGAGCAGATGGTCACAGACTCCAGGTTACAGTGGGCAGGCTGAGGGCCAAGAGAGGAGAAAGCCAGACAGAGAGATGGGGTGGGGACAGACAGGTGGGAGAGGAGGTGGAAGCCAGGAGCAGACAAGCTCCGGTGCTCATTATCCTAGGTGCTGGCAGACATCGAGCTGGCCCAGACCTTGCAGGCAAATGGGGAGGAGGAGAAACTGGAAGAAGTGCCACACCCACTGGACAGGGACTACCAGCTCCTCAGGTGCCAGCTTCAACTGCTGGACAGTGGGGGGCCCGAGTACAAGGTGAGCTCTACACACCCGCCCTTGAGCTACCTGGGGAGCCCTGGTTCTCCACATTCTCTCCTGCATGCCCAGGCCTAAAGAGAGCTGTAAAGTGAGAGACCACAGGGCACTGGTCCCCAAGTCTCCCAACCTTGGTCACCAGGCTCTGCTCTCCCCAGGCAATACAGACCTACTTGGAACAGACTGGCAATAGCTCCAGATGCCCAACTCTGCAACATGTTTGGAAAGTGAACAGAGAAGGGGAGGTAAGGGGTATTCAGCCCCTAGATCACCACCCTGCCCCTTAGGGGATAACATTTACTTACCTGTCCCTTGCTAAGTTGGCTCAAAATCTCTGATCCGTTTCCACCAGGCCTAGTGTAGGCCAGCTACCTGTGGGGCCCTCAGCTTTGGGACACATGAGCCTTCATGTGACGTTGTCATTACCATTTTCCACTTTTCCCCGCTCAGGAAGACAGGTTCAAGGCCCACTCTAAACTGAACAACCGGAGGCTGCTGTGGCACGGCACCAATGTGGCTGTGGTGGCTGCTATCCTAACCAGTGGTCTCCGAATCATGCCACACTCCGGTGGCCGTGTTGGCAAGGGTATCTACTTTGCCTCAGAGAACAGCAAGTCAGCTGGCTATGGTGAGGTTCCCCTGGGTCAAGACCTGGGTTGGGGTGAAGGCACGAAGATGGGCTGGGCCCAATCCTGAGGGAGGAATCCTGGAAATATTCCTGACCTGCGTACACAGTGAGATGCCCTAAGCCCTCAAGAAGCACCTGGCAGTCAGGGACATGTCGTCCTGGAAGTGGGGGGGGGGGGGGAGGGATGGGATGAGAGCAGCAAACAGACTCTGAGCAGGAAAAGAGAAATCGCGACAGAGACGGGAGAAGGCTGCCTGCGCCAAGCCTTGCCAGTGTGTTCTGTGCGGAAGGGGGTGCAGAGACACAGGACCAGAAAGCCACAGAGAGCCCGTGTGGATGTGCACACTGGAGAATCTCAGTGGGTGCAGCGGTGAAGTGGGTGGCAGAGGGATGGGGGGTGGGTTCTGTCTCTCTCTGCCTCTCTGATTCTGTCTGTCTCTGTCTCAGTCCCGCCCCCGTGAGCACTGGCCCTGGCTCCAGGCTCCAGGCTCCAGAACTGAGATGAGAGAACCTGTGAGCAGAATGTGTGAGGCAGTAGTGTGGCAGCAGGTGGCAGAAGGTCAAAGACGTCTCCAGGGACTTCCAAATTCATGGTCAGGGTGTCCTTAAGTGACTCATCAAGTGACCCCACCAGCCCAGGTTGAACACATCCCTGGAGGCTGCCATCACCTGCCAGGCCAAGAAAGCAAAGTTTAACCAAGAACAGATGGGGCTGAAGTTCTTGGTGGACAAAGAGATCTATCAAGAGGACAGGGGACCCCAAGAAAGACGGGCTGGCAGGAGTGGGGGTGCTCGCCTGAGGGGTGCCAATGACCAAGTAAACAAAGTAGGGAGAGGTGCCCCTTCCCAGCTCCCACCATCACCGATTCACTAGCGGACAGCCTGTGGGAGGTGGGGGAAGGGAA